AAGACTATTGCCAGAAAGATGATCACTAAGAAGATCATACTTTTTTCATAGTGCGTTGCTTAAACTGAAAGTGAGGGACAGCTTTTAAAGAGAGGATATGGGGGTGAGTAAAATGATGAATCTGTGATGTAGTTAACTTAGAAACTATGTATTATAACCAAACACATTTCTTTACCTGTGTGACTAACTGCACCTCAGTTAATAAAAAAGGGAATGAATTTTAAAATCCAGCTACTTAGTACAGTAAGTTATTGGTTTATTTTTTCCATTTGGTTTTTGAACATTCAAAATCAGTTAATCCAATATTATTTACATAGTCAGTTTCACTTCCGGTTTTTAATGTTGAAGTGCTTGTTTCAAACATTGCTGAGGAATGTTTTGTTTAAAGTTATTTTCATTTTAATTTCATTGGCATTGATAATATTTCTAAGTATAAAACCATGTTTTGAAAAATTTAAATTTTGTCAAGTATCAGTTGAAGTCTCTCTCTAATTTTAGCCATTTAAAGCCCCTCACACCCCAAAAAGAGAGAGAGCAAGAGAGAATCTGGTGGGGTTTAGGGAGACTACTTCTTAGTTCTAAAACATACAGAGGTCTGCCCAAAGCTCACAGGGACAGCTGGGTGAGGAAGGAGCTGGGTGAAATGGACACTGAGTACTAACCTCCCTGTTCCTGCTGTTGCCCCAGTGGTCTTGTTCTCCCTCTTAGCAGTCCTTTGGTCTTACAGGAATTAAAGTGGAGAGGGGGACCAGTGTGTTCACCCAGCAGTGCATTTGCAAAGAAAGGATTTGCGAACACACAAGTCCTGTTTTGTTTCCCTCTGTTTTCTGGAGGCAGATCATAGGGCTACTAGGAGAGGTTGCATAGTTTGGTGGTACTCTCAGGAAAGAATTCAGGACCAATTTCATTATGAACAGGTTGCAGATTTCCCTTTGCAGTCATTCCTACCCCTCAGATGTCACTGCCATATTTGTTGGGATGGGAATTTTTCATCATTAGCTTTGGCTGCTACTCTGAGTTTCTGGAGTAGGGGACCAGCACGTGCTTCTTTTTGTTCCACCTCTTCCCAGCTACTAGTGTTAGAACCAGGGAGAATTTTTCTCACCCTCCATCAGATTTATTAGGCAAAGGGTGAGGGTAAAGATGCTGTTGTCCCATCCCACCTCGCTGCCAGTGGGAGTGCAAGCTTCCCATAGCCCCTGTGATCCTCAGACTGCTCAGATTAATTGAAGAGAACAAGCACTCCCACAGTTGCTTCTCTTTTCCATCTGCCTATGGTCTCTGTGAGCTCTGCTCTTTGAAACAGAGCAACCCATTCAGATAGCTACTACAACTGGTCCCACATCCTGCTCATGGTGAAACCTGCCTAAAAGGGAGAGGAAGGTCTGACCCCCTAAAGTAGTCAAACTTGAAATACAACAACGAATGGTCTGGTAGCACTTTATAGACTAACAAAATTTATACAGTAATCTTCCGATAATCCAGCACCTTTAGGATCCTGGGGGTGCCGGATTATCAAATATGCTGGACTATCGGCAGGGGGGGCAT